ATTCTATGAGTTTTTATACAAAATCTCTCTTGAAAGGGAACGATACAAGAATAAAAACTTGGTTTTACTTAACTTTTGAGTAATGTGGCGTATTTCAAATGGTAGAAGATAGTCAGCAGGTCTAAGTTAAGTTAGTAGACAGTTAAGTAGGTTTTCATGAATAAAAAGTATTTGCAATTTTGATGCTGTTGCAACTCATCATTTGATGTTCAACGGATGATCTGCCAGTGAATAGCACATTCCTGCAAACTTTACCCATTACAGCCATTTAATTATCACCTATTTTCTGTAACGTTTCTTTAAAATAATGTATTGCACTGGATGATTTAATGAAGAAAAAATGTATTTATTTTGTTGACATTTTAATTAATTCACAGCAAAGTTAAAAAAAAAAAATTCCAAGTGTCATCCCGTAATGCAATTCTAACAATTTACAGACACATCGGTGTCTAAAATAAAAAGAATTTACATATTTTGTCGTTTTCTCCTAGTGAACAAAAGATAAGACATGCTTTGGAAGAAAGAAGCAAATATTTAATGTTAAATAAGCAACAAATACATACGCATGGGCGGTTCATGTAGATGAAGAGGCTTAGAAATGCACTTGACTATCACCGCCTAGATATCTTGATAAATTTCATGGTAGGTTTTCATGGATGAAATTTAAAAACAAACAATTAAAATGAGTAACCACCAATATTTGGGATTATGGAATGCGGTGGTAAATAGTGGGAGAGGTTGGAAGCAAAATAGTGTTGGAGAATAAAAGCAGAATAGTAGGGGAGAATGCCAGCAGGTTAATCTCAAATTCAGAATGCTAGAGACTGAAACGGAACACCTGGAGACGTGTTCAATTAATAAAATTTTTTTTAACATACTGAATTACTAATATACCAAGAGTCATTAGAGTAAATGAGGATAAACATTTGGCCATTACAGAGAGGTTAAACAGGAGATTAATACTTTCTCAGATCTCTGGTGACCTTCATGCGGCATAAGAACCCGAGTTTCAAGGTTTACTGTCTCCAAACGACTTCACGAGAGAGGCATGCTTATACGAAAACTTACTGTTTGCGTCTCACTCACTTCTAAGTACAGGAGAGCCTATTTAGTTTTCCACAGAGGCAATTGACCAGAGATAAATAGGGAGCGTTTAATTCACTGATGAGTCCCTGATCAGCTTAACCTGTTACTTTGACGTACGTTCATCTGGAAAGAATGAAGAATCCATTACCTGCGGTCCAAATTCCGAAAACGAGACCACTATAGCTGCAGAAGTTTGAGCAGGATCATGTTGGATGGGCTCATAGACGTCCATGTCTCTGGGACTAATGGGAAATATAGATATTGGATACATGACACAGGGTAATTGTATATATTGGTTTTCCTATGTTGCCTTTTCAGGGGTGCAGTTGGTCTTGATTTCATTTAATGAGCAATAGCCCACGATCACACAGGGTTCATCTAATTGTTGAATATCTGAAAATTTGGGCTATTTACCGGATAGATTGGCCAGCCAGATCTCCAACTCTAGGCCCTATAGAGCATGGCATGGTATTTGAGACTCGTCTTTCCCTCCAGAATCATTCAGGATCTAGAAAAATATTACCTACTTGTCCAGAGAATCATAAACTGCCTTATTTCCAATATGAATACCTTCCCATACCTTCCATACCTTGGACCAGACCTTCCCATTTCTTTGTTCGATGTTGTATTCTCTGTTTTAGAACGAATGTTAATGTCTATATTCTATAAATGTTATGTAGTGATTTTTTAAATACTATATCAACCTATTTTCAACCTAATTTCGTTAAAATTTGTTTAGTAGTTCTGGAAATAATTAGTCAAAAGTGAAAATTCTATTAATTTTTAATACCAGCGTAGTTTTTTTTAAAAAGAACAATTGGTTACAGCTCATGTTATTGGTACCATGCATCTAATCAAGGTGAATTAGGGATTTCGTTAAAAGGATTAAGAAATTTTATCGACAACGTGTAATATTTTCAATAAGCAAGAGTTTTTATTTTGAAATAGGACTTGGAATTTTTTGAAACATAATTCTGAATTTATTCAACATGCACACTCCTGGATTCAAATAGAATGCTTCTCTTTCATCAAAATTATAATATTCATTTGCAAATTGTATTTTATCAAGAGAGTATCACAATGACTCGGTTTATAGATATTTCTCTAAGAAAATTAAAATCCCCTCTGACTTAAAGACAAACGTTTTACTTTTGAAATGGCAAGCAACAAATAGGACAAAAATTATTTTAAATTTTAAAGGCAAACAACAAAATTTATATAAACATTTATCCCTTTCATGTGTACATCATATACAAATTCGTTTATCGCACCAAAGTCCTCAGATAAATATATTTTCTTCTCTAAATACTGACTAACACTAACATATTGAAGTGATATCTTCATAACAAAATAAGCTTAAAAAAGAACAAAATAAAGAAAATAATTTAAGTGGAGTTAAGTGACTTCATATTAAATGCAACATCATCAAAATCGCTGAAAGTATATTACAACTTAAAGTGAGTTTATATTACTTTTGCTTGAACATCATAAAAAGTCACTAAGAAGTGGAAAATACTTGGTGTTTATATGGTGGTGTTTAAATACTTGGTAATATATTGGTGTTTTGAATTCAACGAAAAAAAACGTGTATTAAGTTGTGCGATGATGCAATTATTTGCTAAAAAGTGTGGTGATATATTAATTTGCACAAATCGCATATAAATCAGTTATTCTTAAATTGTATGTTCTCTTGAAACTTCTTATAATAAATAGCTCTTTTTGCTCTCTTCGCCTTAGATTCATATTTAAAAGATTTACTTAGTAGAAATCACTTTCTACTGTTTACAAGTTTACGCGATATCCATCTGCGTCAGAACTCATGATTTAAATAAATGATTCAAATTGCAAACCTTATTTTTGATCAGCAGTTATCAAAGGAAGCAAAATAAAAATAAAAAAAATAAATAAAAAAACCTTTTTATCTTTGTCATTCAAAAGGAGAACCCACATCTACTTATAGTACTAAGTGTTTGTTTAAAGTATTAAATTCCTCAATAAAATTTACTTTATTCAACGAGGAAATATTTAATATTCTTGTGAAGATAGAAAAATATAATTGCCACGAGCACAAATGCTAATCACCACCCGACTAAGATTCCCTTCATGTCAAACTTTGGAAGCAACCCCTTAATAACTGTATAAAATAAGATTTGATGAGCAATAGCATTCAAAGCGTTGGAAAACCCTTGCCTTAGTTAAAATGATTCCATCAAATAAACTGTTTTGTATAGTCTGTACGCGTGAGTCCGTGTAAACACGAATTTGAGACTTTTTTCTTCGTCTCATTTCTCATGGGATGTAGAGCGTCAATGATGTCTCATCTAGGTTAGATGATTTTGCTCTGAGGTTGGGAAGGAGGTCGGGGTTTTCATCGCATTGCGAATCGGTGGATTAGGAAAATAAAGAAGGTCTTTGATCTTCGGAAAACGGGTTGCCATGCTTGACAGGGGCTATTTGGCCCAGTGCCTCGACTTGTGCACTTGCTGCTTAAAAGGTTTTGAAAGACATACACCATATATCTAATTTAATGTCGGGCTTTCGGGTGCGGATGGTTTTCCACTTTATGTAAATTTTTGACTCATTTAGACTGCAGAAGATAAGTGAAAGAGGAAATCAGCCTACTTCTTTAAAATATACTGGCCATGAGTTAAATAAGCACTCACGTTTACTAATTTAACGTTTATCATGACGTTCGAGTTAAAAGGCAGCATCTGTTTCGTTTCCTTACACATTAAAATCTTTTCTTTTTCAAGATTTCAGGCTAATTTTAATAGTACAGAATAAAATAAAATTATGGGAGTAATGGAACTAATATGGGAGTTAAAATATGGGAGTAATGGGAGAAATATGGGAATAATGGTACTTAAAATTTGGGAGTAATGGGAGTAATATGGGAGTTAAAATATGGAAGTAATGGGAGTAATATGGGAGTAATGGGAGTAATATGGAAGTAATGGGAATAATATGGGAGTTAAAATATGGGAGTTAGTAACAAGTTTCAAATTAAAGCATATTTTATTGTATGATATTTTTGAGAAGCGCTATGATCTCGAGAAGAAAGAAAATAAGAAAAAAAATCTTAGGAGCTAGATGCTTCATCCTTTAATTTGAAAATTTTAATTATTTATTAATCTTAGGAATTTATATATCATAATCTTGTGAACTTATATCGATTATAAGAACCTTTGCTGCAAGATTAAAATCACCTAACCTTGATAAAAAAAAATATTATTCTTAAAGAAACACACAAGATTGATTAAAGAAGGAAAGTAGGGAAATAAACTAAAATAATATAGCTCACTTATTTATCTTTCTTAAAAAAATTTCAAATTTTGATATTATAATCATCTTTTTATTAATTAATATAAATAAATGATAAATAAATTTAAAATAAGCAAATTTATATCAATAAATATAATATAAATTTGGTAATTGTTTTTAAGCGAAACCTGAAGCTAAAAATTTAACAATACAAAATGGAATAATAATTTGTAGTAAACCTATAAAAAATATGCAATTTTAAAATATTTAAAATGATTTTTTTAATCAATAGCTTTTCACACAATTTTTGCGTCTAAAACAATAATATTTTTTAAATTAACTGAATATATACATTTTTATTTTATAAATTTGTTGTTGTTTCTTATCCCACTTGGCTGGCCAAGCCCACGAGCCCATACGTGCTCATGATTGAAGGGGAAGGAAGCAGCTTCTGTTGTGATGGAGCACCCGTAGGTAGAAGCCTGACTTTTGCTCCGTGACGCTCTTACAGTCATAGGAGACCGGGACCTACAGCTTAAAGTGGATTCCGAACCACTACAAACATCCATGGCACCGCCGGAATTCGAACCCGAAACCTGTGGCACCGAGCGCCAAAGCGCTAGACACTCGACCATTCAGGTCCCAAATTTGCCAACGGCACGCGGTGTTCCCAGGTGGTCACCCACCCAAGTACTCACCGCGCCCAATGATGCTTGACTTCGGTGATCTAACGAGATAAATTTAAATATCGTTATAATAACGCCATAATAATAATAAATGCAGTCAATTTTCTAGTCAAAATCAATCAGTAAATAAAAATTTTAAAAATTCACTTTTTTTACCTAATGCAGAAAATGTAAATTTTCGGGTTTGGTGAGAAAAATGAAGCTATAAAGGAGGAAATAACAGAGAAAGATAAACAATGTAAACTTTTTCGGATATTCCATGCTACAAATATGCATGCTTATGTTGCAAATATAGATACGACAATACTATTTTGGAGTTGGATTTTTATAGTTGAATGAAAAAATATGAATTAAACTAATATCTGCAATATTATTGATCAATAATGCATCATATTTAATTTTGTATAAATATTACGTTTACCTTTAAATGATATGAAGGTATTGAATATCTGTATCTAAAATTATAAGTTTATTTCAAATGTATTTATGGAATTTTAGAAAATAAATATATCTATCTAAAAGTTACTCAAAACATTTATAGTATTTTTATTGAGTTTAAAAACCTGAATTTCAGGATTTATCTATATTCAAGTGTTGTAGTCTTTATCTGAATTCAATTATGGAATGTTATCAAAATTTCAAGAATGAGTGTATTTTATTTTTATTTTTTTTAATCCTAAATATGATGCAATCAGGTATTGCCCAAATCTTAATCACTGTGTTTTTACATCCAATATTATAAGAAAATTAGATTTTTTTAACAAATATTTTACTTACTAGTATTGCATATCAAAAAAAGAAATACTAAAAATTATAAAACAATATATAGATAAACATTTGCGAACCTTTTTTTTAAAACAAAATTTATATTATTTTTGAAGTCCTACTGAATAAAATATTTGCTAAACTGCTTTAGTTTTTATAAGTCATTGACTGTTCACCCCTTATCCTTCATACTCAATAGAATTTTTGAAATGTGTTTTTATGTTTAACTGTTCGAAAACTCATAGCGATGTGTGTTGAAATGACCATGATCTCATTCTTTTAGCAACCGAAATGTTTGTTTGAATTTTAAATGAAAAAAGTCAGTCAAATCAAACGAGATAAAACAAAAATTGCCCCACTTTAAGCAGCACATTAAAATAGAAAAACTGACTAAATTCAGAGCTTGAGTTGATTCTATCTCAAAAGTTAATGCCTTCTTTCAATGAAAATTCTACGGAAATTTTTATATTCAAAAATTGTTTTGCTTTATCATGCGCATCAAAGACGTTATATTAATTTTATAGATTTCACAGATTCTATCTTGCATTTAGAAGACCCTATTTTAAAACGGACACGATCTTCAAACATTCAATATATTCTGACTATTTAAGTATAATTTCTATCCGTAAGAGAGTGATAAGACATGTCTAAATGAACAATTAGATCCATCATGGCAAATGAAAATCCCTTGATAGTTTATGAAAGGATTCAGCTATCATCACATAGATTTTTTGGTAGGTCACCAAAAATAGGTCATTAGAAGTGTCACAATTAAATACGATACATTGATCCATCAGTATTAATAAAGATTCTTTGTTAACTTATAGAGGGATTCAGCAATTATCATTTAATTCGAGGGAGGAAAAGCACAGGATATAACGCATTACGACAGATTGTGGGGTAAATCAGAGTTAGGTCACCGAAAGTAGGTCGTAAGAGCCGGTAAAGGTGTCTTACCTGCAATCGACAAAGGCACTTTCTTTCGCTTTAGACAATACCTAATTGTTGTAGGAGAGTCAAATTTAAATCGGATCCTTGTAGGGGTATGGATGCACCCCCCACGTTTTTGGCGCTCCTTACTTTTGGTTTTATTGACCCTCTTTCAGGCCACGAGACGCCAACTAACAGATGGTGGCTCGATCTTTATCCTCGCGAGACTTTACCAAGGTGCATCTGAAATGTTGGCACTCGTGCGGCAATTGTTCGTTAAATTGACGATGATAGCTTTGACGTTGATTCTATGGTTCACGTTAAAAGATAATGAGAAACATTTCGCATAATTACCAGCCTATGTAAACATATACAGATTAGAGAATAAAAAAGCATGTTCTGGAGTTTTTAATTACGACACTACTTTTTTCCCGTCTCGTAGTTTGTTTATTTACACTAGCAGTACAATTGACTTTAATTTGCAATACAGACTTCATTAAATACACTAAAAATGTTCAGTTTTTCCTTAACTCTATAATGGAGTTTTAAAGTTCGCATTTTGTAAAGCTTCTTGTTTTCTCATATGCATTTAATATTGTAAAAACTGTCTTTTAATTATTGTATTATTTTTATAACACACACATTATGTTAGAGTATTTATTAGAGAGTTTTTGCATACCGTATTTTGGACGTCCGTTATTTTTTTCTCCCTAGCGCGCATGCTCATAGGAAACATATTTACAGATACGCATGCGCAATTTTCTATGAGCATGCGCGCTAGGGAGAAAAAAATAACGGACGTCCAAAATACGGTATGCAAAAACTATCTATTATTTTGGTAGACTCCTGTGTTCTGGCTCTCCGTTATCCGAACAGATCAATATATAACTATATTACATTTTTTAAGAGAGTTGATATTGTCTTTATAAGATTTCTTAATTAGGATTGCCTTATAGTTCATATAACAAAATATTTGTTAAACTCAAATATTTTTATATACATATAACATTATATAAAAATAATGCATAAATATTACAGATTTATTTAAGAAATACAATATTTATCATACATTTATCTAATGTGTTGAGTATTTATCATACAAGATCTAATGATGAATTATTAGCTTGATGAAGCATAATGACTAGGAACTATGAGAAGAACCAAGCAATCAATATTGCATTCAAGCCATCCAAATAAAATGTTTTAATGTACGCAGGCTATTAATATATGTTTCAGTTTTACGGAAGACATCATATTACTTATCTAGATTTTTCCCATATTCAGGCCACTCCTATCAGAACTAATTTGATATAGGAGAATCTATTATATTTGATTAAAAAATTTTTTGTCTGGAACGACAATCTCTATTTTATTTATTAGGTATACATCATGTTCAAAATATAGATTACTGCTTGCCGTCGTATGTCATTATTATTCATCCAAGTATTTTTAACACAATTCTCTATATTACGTAAAACATTTTGTGTTAATTATGCAAATATTTTACGTTAGTAATATTTACACTAAGAAAGTGAATTAATATTGAATTTTTTAAAAGGTCTTAGTTAAAAATGTGTAAACTTTACTTTAAAAACATCCTTTTTACGAATCCAGCAGTAATTTAATAGCTTATTTCATCTGCAATACTCTTTATTTCTTTTTTCCATGTTAGAAATATTCTGATGGAAACGTTCATCGTATTCATCACACATGGCTCTCAGAATTTCGGGATGAAATAAATCTTCAAAAACATTTTGTAGGCTAAATATTCATGTTTTCATAAAACAGATACGCTTAGTGGCCAGATTTTTGAGGAAACAAAAAGTTTTTAGTACATTCTTGAAAGAAACTATGAAAGTTCTTCTAAGTTATTCAACCTTCCTCAAAAACATTTATTTTTGATTACTTCTCTAATTAGCGGTCGTCTTGCAAATTTTTTTGTTTGGGTATTTTTTGTGAATTTCGCTTTTCAGGTACTAAACAATCTCATACATTTCTGTTTAAGGCTTTCACTGGAAATTTAATTGCAAATTTGTCGTAAAACACAATATAAAGATGTGGAATATGCTTTGACGATCAATTAAAGGGGCATTCGTAAAAAAAAAAAAAAAAAATCCCCAGTTACAACGAATTAACATGAAGGCTATTTTTATATTATTTCGAAATTACTATTACAAAAATTGAATTGAATGAATTTTACAAACACTACTGTTCCACTTGAAAAAATGTGTATCCAGACTATAAATCTCGAAGCATTATCTTACGGTTTAACGATTATCTTAAGGTCACTATGTTTATTCTACATGGATCTTTATACTAATCTTTTAAAGAATAATTATCATATTTTCATGTATTTTTCTCATATTGATTGCAAATGTTAATGAAATTCCTCTTTATGCCCCTTTTAAAGAATCTTTAAAGACATAACAATATTATGAGTGGTGAACATATCCTAGAGTATCTATCACCGGATTTCTTTGCATTGATGAAATTTTATTACTGCATGATATATCACCTTCTTGAAAGAAAAAAAATAATTGGAATCTTCTTGACATTTACTAAAGGAGCATGTTCTAGTTTTGTGAATAAATACTTTCTAAGGTTCATCAAATGAAAAATTCCGCCTTCAAAAGAATTCTGACTGTTTTTATACCTGTTAAATCTTTTATTAAATTGTATAGAAATCACATAAAATCATACTGCAAATGACAAATGGAGATAATTGTTTGTCCATCCTGTAAAAACTCTTGCACGTGTATTTAAAAAAGGAGGTGATGTTTCGCCTGGTGTCTTTCCACGCGACTGAACACAGATGATGTTCTCATATGAATAAATGATATTATGAGTTCCGGACTAATACTAAATTAAACATTAATAATCCGAGAAAACTATATTACATATATAAAACTATAGGTGATAACAAAGTTTGATAGAAAGCGTGGATTTCTCAAAAATAATAAAAAATTATGTCTGGGAGAAATCAAATGTTTACCAGGGATATCAGCATCTCATACCAATCATTATTCTATTAATTCAATATCTTTAATGCGGCTATATTCAAATGACTATTTTTGTTCGTATATTAGCTAATAGATTTTTGATAAAATCTTCCATCTTATCACATTCCATCTCGATATTAGAAAGACGAGAAGAAATAACCCAGGCATATTTTTTGTCAATAAGAAAAATGCAATGATCATCATGCATGATAGCTAGAAAGTTCTTCCCTTTTCTAGAACTCCATGGTTGTTACCATCGTCAATTGTGATGAACCATAATTTCATGTCGGTTCTACAAGCTGCTATTCGGCTTGGCATTGATTCGTAAAGTTAACAGATGTTCCTTATGATATTTTT